AAAAAAGTATCCATTTGCTGGTTATAAATCTTCATCATATACTTATGGTATTACTCCTTAATTAATTAAAGGACCACTTAAAAATAAAGAAGATGGATAAGAACTTATATCACTTCCTTCCACTAATGCACTATTATTATAATAGAAAACATCAATTAGAAATGGTTAAAATACTTAAGTTTTTATTCCTCCTCCATATCTATATGCTATATTATTTACAAAATAACATTAAATTATAGTAATTACTGGAATATCTAACACCTCAGATAATTAAAATTATTTATTAAATGAATTTATGTATAAACCTCCACCAGAACCTAAAACAACATTTGAAGAGAATGTACAATTTACAAGTTTCATATTAGATACATTCTATAAATCTGCCAGAATTGATCCACCATCATATTATGCATAATTATTTATCATACTAACATTCTCAAATTAAACAAATTATTCCTTTAATGTCAAATAAAAACAACTACCAAAATTTCCCTTATTTCCTTAACAAGATCCTCCTATAATATATGAATAAGTATTCTTTAAATAAAACCCACTTGTCAAACAATTAGAAAGATCACAAGATAATTACTTAAGTTATGGATTTAACATATATATTGTACAATCTTATAGTTAAATCAAACTTTAATTCAATTTATAAGCTATTTGACTAATATTTTAAATAGTAAGTGCATTTATATTAAGATAAGAAGCGATTAAATATAATAATTGTGAATTCTTAGTAATAATATTAGAAAAGTTGCTATTTTAAATTGAAATCCAAGTTTGATTTGTATAAATAATCTATCCTTCTTAAGCTTGAGTAGAAAATGATTATATATTCTTAATATTTAATTAAATTGCACTAAATACACAATGTTCTAGATAAAATAATGAACCTTATGTTAATTAATAAGGATTAAATATTAAAGGTGTCTATGTTAAATTATTATATGAAAATGTATTATTCTTTATTGTTATGTTAAATAATTCAATTTTTAGAATAGATCCATTTTTAGAATAAATGTTTGAGAAGGAATTATCTAAAAGATTTAATTATTTTGTAAATTTGTAAGGTTAAACATTTGAAATATTGGAAATATCAACATTTGTGATATTTAAATATGGATAATTAGTTGTTTCTTCTTTTTAAAAGAATAAAAAACCTCCTTCTTATAAAGAGAATATTGAATTTATTTTATTTGCTTATATAATGATAATTGTATTTTCCAAAGTATTATCAATATATATAGCACCATTTCCAAATGAAAATACATTATTAATATTGTTATTTGTAAAGGTAATTTTAGGATTATATGAAGATGAGTGATACATCTATATTAAAAAGATGGAACCACTAAAAGAATATATTTAATTGAAATTACTATTTTAAACTTAAAATATAGTACAAGAGATTTATGCTACTCCACCAATTATATTTTATACTCCATGATATGTTGAATCTGTTGCATTAAAATAATTTACATTAGAAAAACTAAATGTTATCATCTATGCATTTAAAACTAATAAACTTGTACTAGTACTACAATTAATATTATTGAAATCAGATTAATCAATTTATAATTATGATTGATATCCTTAAAAATATATACCAGTTGATGAAACTATAAAATTATAATCTGTCTATTTCAATTATAAATTTGTAATAGATATTTAAGATAGACTAACTTAAAATTTACTTTTAAGATCAATTAAAATTCCATAACATGTACTTAACAAAGAAGCTGAAATAATTTTAAAGTTTAAAATATTCACTAATGAAATTTAAATTAAACAAGAATTAATTTATGTGCAATCATAATCATTTTGATTAGAAATCGTAATTAATCCATTTTAATATATAGTTCCTTAATCAAAGTAAACTTAGTTTATTACAATATGGGGTATTTCAAAAATAGCAAGACTTAATGAAGATGATACTGAAAATGTAAAATCATTTAATGTAATAGTATCAAATGATTAGACAAGAAAAGAACTATTATCAAAAATCAAATGTGATGCATCAATACTTTTACCAAATGAAAATTTAAATGCATAATTGATCACTTATTAATATTAATTATTAAAAAGTTAGATTGTATTTAAAGTAATTGCTGATTAATAGAATAAATTACTTAATTATTAATTGAGAATTGCTGCATTTAAATAAGTTGAAAAACTATTGTCTTAAATAACTATATTATTAAATTTAATTATGATTGGTTATAATGATTCTATAAGAATATTGTTAAAGAGTGTACTACATAATTAATTTCCATTAATAGTAAGATCTTAAACATCAAGTTAATAATATTAAAATAATTAATTAATTGAGGTTGCTGATGAAGAACATTATGAATTAGAGATAGTAATAGTTTTTAATAGTAATAAAGTTTTATCTGTGATTTAAACCAACTAATATAATTTAGAATTTGATATTTCAATATTATTTAATTGAATATTAGATCCTAAGTTTGATTAAATAAATGGTTAAGACATTTCAAAATTATTAATTTTGAAATTTTGAAGCATAAATTGATAAACATTATCCATAATAAAATAAGGACATTGTTAAGATTATGAATTAATAATTTAGCAATTCACAATATTACTTAATACAATATTACTTAATTACAATTTACAAAATGGAACAATTAAAGTAAGATCTTAAAAATTAACTGAATTAAACTTTTCTATACTTTTCCTAATGATAATACTAGATTAAGATGTAGAAATTCCTATAAAATATAATTTAACATCTTAATTAATGCCTTAATTAATAATAATTCTATCCCAATCAATATTTTATTTATTGATATTAATTGTACCTCTTACAGTCAATAAATTTTCTAATGTTTAATATAAAATGTAAAAGTTAGTTAATGATATTTAAGTATTAATAAATGATAATACATTACTATTACTACTATAAGTTTGAGTGAATACACATTCTAAACCACTTTAACCTGTTGAAAAATATTCATTTAATTATAAGGTCATTACATAATATTTAAATTAAACAATTAAATAGTTATTATTTAAAATAAAATACTAACTAAAATATTATGTTTTGATCACATAATCTGTTTAATCAATCTATTATATTAGATTAGTTAATTAATAAAATGACAATGTATATGATTACTATTCTAAGACTAACAAATAATCGTTATATATTTATATTTATTTGAATGATCGTCCTGGTTCTTTGATTATAAATGAAGATAATTACATTGTAATACAGCAGAATTTGAGGGATCACTTAGTAAACTTATTTGAATTGCTTATCCATTAGTAATCACTTGATAAGTTTGATCCTATGTAATTTATATCACATTCTGCAATTACAAATTAATTGAATTTGGATTGTTCTCTTATTAAATGGCTATACTAAAAGGATAACTATTTATATAATTATTTGATAATAAAAATTAAATAGAATTGTCTGTAATAACTATTTATAAAATGTTATTCAATAGATCCTATTAGTTTGTTATAGTAGTACTAAAGATATTATTTGTAAAACTATAAAAACTTACTATTTAATTCAAAGCATAAGCAACATAAATAATATTATTATATTGAAATTATTAGATCATTTAATTAGTATATGTTGCAACATTCTATTATTGAAATGAATCTTATAAATTATATGTATAACATTGATATTAAGTAAATTGACATGTAAATGATGTTTCTGATAATGTTATTACTAAACCATTTGAATAAAGAATCAAAATAATATCAGATTATATTATTTATAATGCAGGATAATTATTATTATTGATTATGATTATTTATTATAATTAAAACCATTAATTAAATATTTAAATGTTACTATTAGTTTAACCAACTTATAATACATATTATGATTTTAATATATATGATGCACTAATACTTTAAGTTGAATAATAAAATGATCTAATTTTAGTACCACTAAGATTTTAATCTACTTAATATAATTAAATCATTTCTGATCCATCAATAGGATTATTAATTAATATAATAATTATTAAATCATCATAATTTAATATAAGTTATTTAATATTATTTGGACATTATGATACTTAAATCCATTAAGTTACAATTCCTAAACTATTTTATTTTATATTATATATCTGAAATTAACAATTAGCAGATAAAAAGATGATTTCATCTTAAATTAAATACATAGTAATAGGAATAATTCCTAAATTAATAATTTAATTTGTAATTGATATTGTCTATACATTATTATTAATCTTATAAATAGTTAAAGTTGTTGATGATACAGCATATAAATAAGTATTAATATTATCTTAATCTTATTGAATTGATATCATTTGACTTAAATCAAATTAAGTTAATATGAAACTATTTAAGAATTATTACATATATAATGAGTAATACTCTAATTGATATGTTCCAGCACTAGTTATTCCAATTAAGATATTATCTGCATATTAGTCAATCTAAACTTGATAATTTATTAATATATTCTATAAAGATTATGCTAAATTTCTAATATATAGAATCTCTTACATTTTGTTCTTCCTAAAATATTATTTTGTGCCATATTCCAAATCAGAGCTTCACTTTGATCTGTTGAAATACTGATTACATCATTTACATATTATAAATAGTTAATATTCCCTAAAAATGATAACTACCCTTATATTGGATTATCTTCATCTAAACTATAAATTTGTAATTGATTTGTTTTCCCTACAAATAAATATCCCTGTTGTGTCTACAGAAAGGTTACGCTCTATCCATCAACTGGTTACTTATATTAACTTACTTGGTTTTAGTTATCTTAATGTTCCTGATTCTGCTTAAATAAAAACTATTGCATTTTAAACAGATGCCATTATATAATTATAATCACTCTAATATGTGATTATATTAGCTTATTCTTAAAAGTTGCTTAAATAAAACACTTATGGACAATTCAAACCTACTCCTAAAGCAATTAAAAAGATAAACCACATTAATTAATATTATTAAATAACTCTATATAATCATCATTATAATTTCTATTGTTTTTTTAAAGTACTCTAAAATGGATTCATTTTATATTCTATTTTTTTCTTTTTTACTGCACTCTTAAAAGTCATTTCAGTTTCATTTCTTTTATGTGATTTCTTCATTTTTTCTGGTTCATTTATTTCTTCAATCTTTTAAAGTGTTTCTTCTGTTTATCCCTTTCTATGATGTGCTAACTTCTTCTCTATCATTATCTCATCAAAACTTCTCAAATCAAAAAATAACTTTTAATTATCTTTTCCATCAACTTCTGTTGATGCCTCTATTGTTTATACTTTTTATGGACTTTAATTTATAATATCTACTTATTATTATTATTCCTATTCTATTTCATTGACTATTTTCACTTAAGAATAACTTCCAAGTAAACATGCTTATTTTGTTTATAATAATTTTTAAAATGCTTAAGAATTTATAATCTTTTTCTAAAATAAATTGGCTAAATCAACAAACTTATCTCTATTTTATAAATTTTCAAATATTTTTTTCTTAAATTTATTGTAAATTTCAATCAATTCAGTTACATTTGCAATTTAATAGACCATACCAATTCTTCCCCTTTTCACTATAGTCTCAAATTTATTTTATGTTTAAATATCTTCACCTTCCAAAACTAATTATTTCCATTATAAAATATTCTAAAATTCATCAATTGTTTATTCTATGCTTTTAAAATGTTCAAATATTTAAGTAGTATTTTTCTATTTCAAAAATACACATAATAAAATAAGTTAACACTTAAGTACATGATGTTACTTTAAAGGAAATTATAAGTATCTATCATGAATTTCTATTACACTATGTATTTATGCTTCTATTTCTTTTGAATTCAATTTATCCAAAGTTAATATAAGTTACTTATCCTAAACTAAACCATAAATCTCATCCTTTTTACTCTTATTTAAAGCTTTTATTAATTCACCCAATAATTTAATAGCCTTACTTTATCCATCTGTTCTCACCAAACCTTAAATATGAATTATCTATTTTCCAAATTTATCTAATAATACTGAAGTTTTCATAGTTATTGGTTATTTAAAATATAATATTTAGAATGATTAACCCATTGCTTCATTTAAAGTTTAGAATAAATTCAAATCTTATTCACATCTTACTTACTATTTACTTTTTATTCTTAAAAAAGCTTACTTCAATTTTGATATTATTGAAATCTTTTTAGCTTAATAATGCATTTAAATTACAAAATTATTACCTTTAGCTTTAGTTAATGTTCTATTAGAACGTTCTATAAATCTAATAGCACTTAAATATTATCCATTAAATTCAAATATAGATCCTATTATAAATTATAATTTAGAAATTATCTTCTTTTTAAATTCTCTCCCCTTTCTATATTATTAATTCATATCATTTGCATAAAATAATGCAATATTCATAGCATGACCTATATCATCTTATAAAACATGAATCCATAATTATTATAATACTAAAAAAACTACTTCTTCTGCATAAATATGAAATGATCTTAACATTAATTCTTAAGCTCTTTTAAGACATAATAATGAATTTTCTTAATCATGTATATCAAAATAACTCATTCCAAGAAGAAATTCTACTTTTGCTTTATTACTTGTAGCCAAATTTTTCACTCTTACATCTTTATATTTTATTTAAAATGGATTATATTCTGATCTATCTTAAATATCCTATTAATCTTCAACCTATTTATATTCTGGAAAAAATTAATTATAAATTACTAAACTCATTTCTAAATTTAACATAGCTGAAATTGGAGCTAAACTTAATCTTGCAATCTCTCCACTTACTAATAATGAATAACCATAAGATAATGATGCTTAATGTTAATTTTTTAATTAAAATCCAATTGCTTTTTAAATTTTACTGATTGCTTAAAAATAATTATCTGAATGAATATAGGACAAAGCTGACCATACTTATAACATTACATGCTTTTTTTATTCAAGTAATCCTTTTGCTTAATTTTAACTTCTTAATCTATGATCCATTTGTAATTTCTGTTATAATTAATTAGATATACACTTCGATAATTAATTTAAAATCACTAAAGGTTTTTTTTATGATAATGTCATAATCTAAAATAAAAGAGTAATATGAAAATTATCAACACTATCATCTTTAACTGTTTTTATTAGATCAACTACTTTATCCATTTTTAAAGATACTACTTTTAATTTCTCTTACCAAGAATCATCTGGATATTATTTAATAAAATAAAAAATATTAAGAATTTCCACATAACAATTTTAAAAAATAGGTTTCTATAAATATTGAAACTTTTCATAATAAGCTTGAAATCTATTTGAATATAATAATGATTGATAAATTATCTCCATATAGGTTTATTCAACTTCAGAAATCTTGTCTTTATTGAGTGCAATAGATTTGTAATCCTCACATATATTTATTGGAAAACTTTCCAATTATTTTACTTCATTTAAATCTTCTAAATCAACAGAATTAGATTATTTTAACTATTAAGGATTTTAATCTAATTAATCCAATTGTTTTGATTCTTATTAATAATCTGCTTCTATTAATACTTTTGTAAGACTATCTGAAACTTATTTAAAATCTTATATTAATTTATCTATATCTGTAACTTCACATGAATATATTGCCATCTTTATGAATTCAAGTAAATAACGATCTTAATTATCACTAAATAACCTTTCAGCCAATAAACAATAATTCTTTTCATCTTCTAAATTCTCACCTTATTCTTTTTTCATATTTGAAATATACTTTTTTCTAGTTGTTATTATAGTTCTTAAATTTTAATTCTATACACTTTTGAAATAGATAATAAGATCAGTTATTGCAAATAAATCTTTCTTGAAACTTTTTACATATGCCTTATATTTCTTTTCTTCTAAAGTCTTTAATGCTACTTCTGGATTTTGACCAAATTATATTAATGTTTTCATTCTACCAAAGGATTCCAATTTAAAACATTTATATTTTGGAACATAAAATAATGTTGATAAAGTAAAATTAAGTCTGTAAAGATATTTCTCATAACAATTTATAAGAATCTATATTAAATTTAATGATAGTTTTTTATGTAATAAATTACTTAATTCACTTTTATCATTAAGTAAAATTTGTTAAAGATCTTTTAATGAATATGATAATTTATCATAGAATAGTGCCAATCTATACATATTTGGTTAATCAAATTAAGGAGGTATATCAAATAAGAAAGTTGTATTGATTATAAATACTAAATACTAATCAAGGTTTTAATGATAATGTTATAAGATTAAGTGAAATAACACATTTAAAAATCTTGATTGTTATTCAATATCTACTACAGTTATTATTTCAAGCATCTCTAAATTTGAAGTCATAACATAATCATTTTAATTTTATTGATTTGTATTTTATTCTTGAAGAAGACTTTATTTTTTCTTTAATTTCATCTAAATTTACTTGAGTTAAATGATTCTTTCAACATTAAGTAAATTCTCAAATGAAATAAAACTATTAGGGCTTTCCTTGTCAATATTGAAATAATTATCAGTAGAAAAAAAAGTAGGTATTCGTGAATATTTATTAGCCTCTTTAAATGTATCTGGTTTTAAATGGAAGAGATCAAAATCTGCTTATGTGATCAGGATTCCATTTACATGAGCATAATGTACACAATCTTTAATTTTTGTTCCAATTGTAATATTATAATACTTTTTTTGTTCATCTTAAGTTAATTCCACAATCAAAGAGAAAACTTTAAGTACATGATCTGATCTTCTATAATAATTTACATCATCTTTTGTGGACCTAGCCTTCTTTTTAGAAGTCTTAGGTTATTATTATTAAGGCTCATTCTTTTAAACTTCTAATTCAGTTTAATGAACAGTGATAACATTTCCATTTGTGTTAAGTGTAGAAAATTAGTTACAAATAGAACGTCTAGTTGAATGTTATACTTAGAGCTCTTCCTCTATTTTAAGTTATTTCTGCTCTGCAACAGTTTTCTCTATTTATAATTATATTCCTGCTTCCTTATCTGATTTTTTAGAACTACAAATTCCCATTAAAATATTAATAAATAAATGTTTCTTCTCATATTTTATCCCAAAATATAAAGAATGAAATATTTGCAACAACGATAATGTAATATAAATTTCAATTTAGAAACTGAAGTTAAATAATATTAAATTTGATCTCTTCTTAAAAAGTTCATAACCTTTAAATAGTTTAAAATAATAGACAGATAGAACTCAAATCATATAGGTAAAAAAACGATAATAATTTTCTAAAATAAATTATTTAATTCCAATAAATGTAAATTAATTTTTTTTTCATTTTGTTTAAATTGACCTGCATATATGTTTTAATTTTTAAATAAACTTAGCAATTAACTCAAATTCTAGATCTAATATCTTATATATAAAAATAATTTAATATAACTATTAACATCATTCTAAATTTATTTAGAATTTAATTTAATAATTTTTTATCCTATTAAGCTGAGATATAAATTCATTTAAAATCTATTAAACTTCTTTTGTATTTTAAATTATTTTATATTCCTATCTGATTACTAATATTACATTTAATTACAATTTTATATATTTGTCTTAAATTGCATAGCTATCATATGGTAAAATATATTTTAGTAATTTAAGATATCAGTTGATTATCATATAAAAAGTGATTTTAATTTATAATTAACCATTTGTTAAACTTTTTCTAACTGAACTTTCAAATTGGGTTAAGATCAGGTTATTAATCATATCGGAATATTGAATACTTAAATTAATTATAAATTATTTAAAAAAAGTTATTAAATAAATAACACAATATATAATCAAATAAATATAAAAACTGCCTTCTTAAACAATTTTTCTAATATTAAATCACTATATTTGATATTTCTTATTGAATGATAATAGTTTAAGGTTTTAGAAATAGAGTTGAAGACTTCCAAAAATCAATATTCTTCACTTGATAATTTATAAAATTATTACTAATCATTTAAATGTAATTGAGAACTATTCATGTAAGATGTTCATACACAAATTTTATGATATATATATAATTTATAATAATGTATATAAATTTATATATTTTTTTTTTAAGTAAATTATTATTTTGAGATTTAATTTATTTCAGAACAATAAGTGTTTATTAAATCAACGTTTGATAAGTGATATTCAAAAAAAAATATGCTTAAAATTATAATAAAAACTAGATTTTAGTATATTGGAAATAATTTGTATATGAATGTATATAGAATTGTATAGGAATGTATGTAGAAAATTTGTAATTGAGAGTTTTTAATAAAATTATAAGATACTTCTTATTTATTTAAATAATTAGTATTTGAATATCAATATTCATCTGATGTTATTTAAAAGTTATTTAATGTATTAATAATAGAAACTATTAGATTTGATTAGAATTAAGTGAGATAAATTTAGAACTCATATAAGATATCAATAAATAATGAACTTGGATGCGTTTTGAAGTTATAAATGATGCTAAGCTTAAGAAGAATTAATGAATTGAATATTATTATTTATAATTAAATGACTCACAGGTACGCGTATGGTTATAAGAAGTCTTACAGTAAGTTATATGAGATGAATTGTTAGTTGAAACTCCAAAAAAGTATTCATATCAATCAATGGATCGATTACCAAAATTACCATCGATTACTTCTGATGCTAAGTAAGATTGTTATGATATTCAGACAGTCTTGGAAAGTTGGTCGGAAGGATTAATCAACTAATTTAGGAGTTATGAGTTTACCTGGATAATTGATGAGTGGAAAATAGAAGATTAATTAAGATGCTTTCATAGTAGAGAAGAGACTTAATTTTTATGGAGTGGCAGATGGACATGGAGTAAATGGTGAACGTGTTTCTGGGTTTATAAGAATCACTTTACCAAAATATATTGAACAAAGTCTTTTAGATCCAAAAGAGACATTGTTAAAAGGTGTTTTATAGACAAATCATGAACTAGTGAATAATTCAAAAATTGAAACTGTCATAGCAGGTTCAACATTATGTTGTGGTTTGATTAAATTAAATAGATTATATATAGCAAATGTTGGTGATAGTAGATGTGTATTAGCAAAGTAAATGGGTAATTCTTGGTAAACCATTGAATTAACAAAGGATTAAAAACCTTCTAGAGAAGATGAAGCAATAAGAATATTAAAATCTGGTGGACGTATAGCTGCTTAATAAGATATTTATGGTAATTAAGTTGGTCCACTTCGAGTTTGGTTAAAAACATTGAATGCACCAGGATTAGCAATGACAAGAGCAATGGGAGATAGATTAGGTGCATAAGCAGGTGTTATAGCAACTCCTGAGATTACAGAATATGAATTAACAAATGATGACAAAATATTAGTATTTGCATCAGATGGTATTTGGGAATATATGTCTTCCCAAGAAGTAGTTTCAATATTGAGTTAATGTTATGATAAAAATATAAGTGCTGAATTTGCAGCATAAAAATTACTAAATTAAGCAGTGGATGCATGGAAAAGAAATAGTTTAGCTAGAGATGACATTACTTGTGTAGTCTTATATTTGTGAATTAATTTTAATTAAATTTCATAATAATTTACTTATATTCTATTGAATAATTAACAATTTCTATTGTAATTAGTTAATTTATATATATATATAAATAATAAATAATAAATAAATTAATTCATTCATTTTAACTCATAAATTAATTAGGAATGATATCATCTTTGTCTTTTTCATATACAATTTTTAAAACTCCATTTTCTATTCCAAAATGTTTCCATTTACGTTCGAAATTTTCTGGAATTCTAAAACTTAATGTAAATTCACCATATTTTCTCTCCTACTTTTTGATATGATCACTTTATTCTTCCTAATAAGGTTTCTTTCGGTTTCCTTTAACTATAGTCACAACATTTTATCTATACATTTCTATATCTTCTTCGCTTATCCCTGGTACATCCATATATATAGTATATTTATCATTAGCAATAATGTCTGTGGCAGGAGCAAATGAATCTGGTCTTGCTAATATCAAACCTGATTGATCAATATTAGTTTAAGGAATTTTTAATTATCCATTTTATAAATCAGCCTCCATTTATACAATCTTTTTTACTAATTAATTATCTGTATCTATTAATTTTACATTAACTTCCCTTTTAAAATATTAAGTTAATTTGCTTGTTGAATATTACAAGATACTTTCACAAACAGAAAATTATCTATTAACAGGTACAAATACAGATTTTAACCAATATTTTAATAATGAAAATACCCAAGGATTTACATCCAATCCTAATTAACTATCATCACTAACTAAACAAACATGTCTTGTATATTAAGTTTTGAACCATAATACATGTTTAGCTTATAATTCATTATTTCTTGGATTATTGGCAGCAACTTTGGTTCTTTAAATAGAACCACCAGTTGAATATATTTAAGTAACTTATGTTGTCCAAACATGTTATAAGATTTCAGAAGTCTCAATTTCTTTCAAATTATGAACTACTATTATTTCTCTAAAAGTCTTTGAACTATTTTATATTTGTCTTGATAATCTATCTAAATATCTTTGATCTAAAGATGTGAAGTCATTTACAACACAAATAAAGTAATCACTCAATTCAAATACAAGATCAATAATAAAATGTTCTGTTGCTTCTTTCTCTACAATACTTAAAGCAGATTTAATTTTCACAGGAGAATAACTACCTGCTGTATCAACTAATATTAATTAAGTTCCTGAATCCACATCAACATGTTTAAAAGATATCCCTTTTGTAGTTACTTTTTTACCTGATGGTAAATTTGATTATGTTAGATTATTTAAAACAAATGTCTTCCCTTTATCATAAAGACCAACAACAGCTACTGTTGCACCTTCCCATTTAATTGAAGACTTTGATTCATTATTATTATTATTTCCTAAACCCACTAATTCCATTTTTGCCTAAAATGGTCTACTAATATAAACAGGCCAACCAAACTAAACATTGTTTATTAAATCAATGTCTAATATCCAATCATATACTTAAGTCTCATCTATACCCTCTTAACTATTATATTTTGTTGGATCATTAAAGATATTATCTTAGATTTTATCATACAATCTTGATTACTCTTCAAAATCATAACTTGTAATAATATTAGATTAAACATTGCTATTTTCCATATTAAGATTATGATTATTATCTTTGAATTATAGAAATCTTCCAGTCTATCTCAAAGATCGAGTCTATTAAAATTTTTATGATGTTTCAAACTCTTTTAATATATTTCTCACTTGACTCTCAAGACTTGCTTATAATTATAACCTGTTATTAAATTGAAAAATTACAGATATTCTTCTTATTGATTAATTTCATCCATTATTATCAATTTATCGCTATTTCTTACACTCATTTCATAATTAATCATTTCCATTATTTCATATAATTCCTCTATTGATCTTGCTTCTTTTGTCATTTTATTGAATTATTTCATAATCTCTTCCTCCTCTTTTTAGATATCTTTCAACATAGTAACCAGTATCTGAATTTTCTATTTCAATTGTATTCTTACTTAACTTTTATCAGCAATAAATTATTTTAAAGACACCTCTTTAAATAACGAAGACATTTGTATTTATTTATTAAATAATTAAAATGTAATCAAATATCAATTAATATAAATTAATCACTACTCTAGAGTTCCTTAACACATAGTTTTATTTTAATCTATAATAAGTACTCATAAATAATGATTAATATTGATAATTAACAGAATTTCAAACAAGAATCTATTAAATTAAGCATTATTATTTTAGACACTATTATTCCTGAACCAATAATTTTAATAGCATAATATAATCTTCCTATATTGTTCAAAAAAACCTAAATTGAAAATAATATTATATTAATATTTCGATTAATTTGAATTTTTGAATTAATATCCATCATTATTTTTTATGATTCCTAATTGTATACTTTATTGAGATAGGAATTAAAGATATCTTTATCTCTATTCTATTAATGGAAGACCAACTTTTCTATAAATTAAAGTTATTGATTTATTTAATTAATGTTTATCTTTTTTTTATGGGAATTTTGGAATTCAAAGTTTACTTCACTTCCTATTTTATGATATTTAATGTTATCTAGTTATTTATTATAAAAATGTAAAAGTTGTTTAAACTTATTAATTGAAATCCTGTAAATTGTATCAAAGCTAAATTTAAGAATAAAGTTAATATTTTGAGAACAAATTTAAGTAATACTTATAATTTTATATTGATTAATATAGATTTGTTAGTTATGGAATTGAATACTAAGTAGAACCTATAGAACTTATATCTTAATTGGAATTATTTCTAAATTAACTATTAAATTAAATTCCTAAGTAACAGAAAACGATCAATTTATAAGTATAAGAATAAAAATAAAGCAAATAATGTTGTTATATTAAAATTTTAATTGATTATATAATTATTATTAGATATTATTTCCTAAAATATCTTTACTAATATTGGTAACAATTGTCTCTTGTTTTGGTAGATTTGGAAATATTGAATAAGTAATTCCATTTTATTACTATAATTTTAGACTAATTATTTAGTTTCTTTATATATATAAATTTATATATGAAATTGATATCTAATAACCATAATTAATATTTTAATATTATGTTTGTACGATTGATATCAAGAATGGCAATGCCTATTTTAAGATGTTAGAAAATTTAATTCAGCCGAGCTTTGACAATCTTGAACAATAGATTAATAATTCATAATTTAACATAAATTAGAATTCCTGTAATGGATGAGCTAACAGAAACAGATTAGGATGAAGAATTACAGTATATCTAAATTAATCAACTTAGGGATAGCATTAGTTTAACATCTGCATGATTGTTATGAAAATATACAAATCATAATTATATTATTTTTTAGCTGTTATTCACTATAGTACTATAACATATCATAGAAATATATTTCAAATATCCCAATCATTTATATTCTAGATATACATAAAGCATAACTTTAATGTAGATTTTTATATTATTTTATATAACATATTTATTTTAATGAAAGTCATATAGAGAAATTTAATATCAATTAAATATCTAATACTAATTCTCTTAATTCTCCATTCAAATTATAAATAAATCTAAATTATAAAGAGTCAAATTAATTTTTATAACAATTTTAAGAGATATTTACTTATGTAAAAATATTAAATATCAAAATTTGATTAAAATGAGATTCTTTTATAAAATTTGAAGAGTGTTTAAACTGCTTCTAAAAATGACAATTCATAATTTTCTAATTATAATTGTTTAGAATTTTATAAATATTAAATTTAATATAATTATTTTGATTTTATATTATTGTGAAAATATCAAATTTTTATAAATATTGATAAGATAGCCTAATCGTAAACAAGAGTTAATTGTGAATTTATATTAAAAATATAATAAATTTATTATTGATAAAAGATAAAATCAAAATAGCACAAGTAAATATAAAACAAAGAGGTAAATATAATTTTATTTTTTTTTGTCTTAATCCAGAATTTGCTTTTATTTCTATTTTAAATATTTATATAAGAATAAGTATAATAAATAATATAATAATTGTTAACAAATAAAAAAGTATTAATATTGACATGCATAAAACGTATAATAGTTTCTATTATTTTTATTATTATTCATAGTCCATAATACATAGATTATGGTTTTTCTTTAAAATATATTAGGATATAAAGCCTTAAATCTTTGAATGATATTATAATAAAACAGAAAAAATAAAAACTTTGATGAAAAAAAGATTACCAAAATAAATTGATTTGAATTAACATATTTCATTCTAAATTCTATAGTTTTCCAGCCACTAAAGAGACAACAATAATATTTCTCTTTTTATGTATATTGTTTAAAGGAAGAATTAAACAAGGTTTATTGGATTTAAAAATAAGTTTTTTTCTTACTACCTTTTTTCTATAATTAAGTATTATTGTTTTGGCAGTAGCATATTTCAGTTGTAATTACAAGGCTGCCTACACTTATAATCATACATACTTGTTTAATCTTCAATCCCTTTTGAAAAACATTTTGTATCAATTCTTTCTTTATTTAAGAAGGAATCTTAGAGTAACATCTCTTCTGTTGAGTTTATTCTATCATAATAAAGAAAATATTCAATTTAGATTTAATTTTGTTACATAAAACATAATGATTAATTGATATCTATAATTGATAAATAGATATTGTTAATTAATTATATTGAATAGTGGAATCATAATTTATAAAGAGTCAAATTCATATCAAGTAAATATTTAATTAGTTAAGATAATTATAATTATTCTCAACTTAAAGACCACTTACTAATATTTGATAGTGTAATTTACAAAATTCATTAATACATAAATAAAATCAATATTTTTATTATTATTATAATAATAATAAATTATGAGTGAAGTATAAGAATTAATTGATAATTTTGAAAAAATAGCAATTAAAGATAATAATGATAAAGAAGATAAAAATAATTAGAAAATAGAACAATTGAATAAATAAGATGAACCAAATACTATAATAATGAAAGAATCAAATAATGAATAATAATAACAATAATAATAAATCTAAGAAAATTAAACTTAAAAAGAATCATAAATTGATCAAAATAATTAAAAGGACCTTAATAATAATTAATTTAATGAAAAAGAATTAGAAGAAGCCTTTATTAATAAATTAGTTATTTAAGAATAAAATAAAGAAGAAAAGCAATAACAATAAGATTAAACTAAAATTGATGATTAAGTTTAGACTTAGGAACATACAATAATAAAAGGTTCAATGAGAAGTGATGGAACTATGAGAAAAGACATAAAAGTAAGAGCTGGATATAAAAATGCTGATATGATTCAAAGATATGTCATACCTTAAAAAAGAAAATGACTATATACTCTATAATTATAAAATATTATAATAAAAATGTTAAATTGATATCTAAAATCTATATTTTAAATCTTAAATCTACTACATTATTGTGAATTCATTATTGGAAATTTAAAATAAATATAATTAGCCTTATAAAATAGGATATCTAAAATTTAAGGTTTAAGATGAATTTTTCAGTTTTATAATTAGTTTATTTAATTAATTATTCTGTTACAATATGCTATAATAAAATTAATAATTATATGTTAACTTTCAATCAATTTTTTTAATTTAGTGTCAATTTATAATACTCTCTATATCCCATTATCTTTATTATATAAGATATGTAAGAAATCTAATAATAGTATATTAAGTTATCTTACATAAGTATTAAGTATTAGAGTAGTAATTTATTATTATATATTATTAATTATAATAGATTAGAATGTTAATTTTGATTTACTATTTTAATTAAAGATAGAAGAATAAATATTTCTACAATTTAAAATTTTAATAAATATAGATCTAATTTATAATAATAATTAAATGATATTATATAAGTTGATTTTATCATTTAATTTTTAGTAAATTTCTTATAGTCTCAGAACTAATTGAATTATTTTAATTGCCTTTTTTTGCACTATTACTGTGTTTTGTTTAACTTCGACTAGGTTTACTGGGTTAAATATTGCAAATTTCTGCCAAAGTTTATCTTCCTTTCATCATGTATTAACTAATTTATATATTATTTGAGCGTTGACTTATTTAAGCTTATTGTTATTATAGTAATTTATTATATCTCTTGAATAATTGATCACAAGAACTCCTATGTGATGAATATCCATGTTAAGACAATGATTCTTGTTTCTTGGGTGAAACATTTCTTTATGTTAAAGAAGCCTCTTAACTCTTCTCTTTCCTTTTCTTCGATTCTGATAACCACTATTATACAATATTAGTACTATATCGAGATATTTCCTATTACAATCTCTTGATTTCTTGAGATGCTTCATCTAATTTTGCTTATAACTAATCCTAATACAACTTCATCTATTGTTCCAACTAGTCATCAATTAAGATATTCTTATTACACTTATGTGATTTCGAATATCGGCTTCCTGTTATTGTAAAACTGATTCTAATTTCTTATATTCCTAATTGTTATTCTTTATTTCTCTAAATGTCCTTGTAATTCTCTATATTAAATCATTGCAATTGTAGTACTCAATTCGTAAACATTTCTCATTTTTATAATTGAGCATCTTTATAATAATAAGGTTTTTATACTTCTTCCAATATAGCACGTAATCCAGACTCTATTTCTTATTTTTCTTATCTGTTCATTTAACGAAAATTATTAAAAGTAATATAATTAATTATTTAAATGGAGGAAGAAGACTGCACTATCTTTATTGAAGAACTCAAAAGTGATGATCCAAACCTGAAAATCAATGCAGTCACTAAAATTGTATCAATAGCATAAATTCTTGGTCCTGCTAGAACATGCTCTGAACTAATTCCATACTTAATTGACATTATTGAAGAATAAGATAATGAGGATGAATTTCTAATTAAATTAGCCTAAGAACTTGTTAATTTAAAACCTCATACAGGGGCTAGTCCTCATCTTTTAAATGTCCCTCTAGAAATTCTAAGTTCAATGGAAGAGCCATTAGTAAGGGAAAAAGCTGTAGAATCATTGTTATTGTTAGCAGAAGATATGCCTGATAGTAAGAATTAATTAAAATTAATAAAGGCTTTTTTGAAAATCACTTTTTTTAGATCATTTAACAATTAGGGTAATGGGACAACTTTCCATCACGTATTTCTGCAGCTAGTTTATTTCCATTAACTTATAAGCATGTTTCATTTGAAAAGAAAACTATTCTTTGGGAATTATATAAATAATTATGTGGAGATGAAACACCCATGGTTAGGAGAGTCTGTGCAGGTGTATTGTCAGATTTAGCAAAAATTAAATGCTAAACATAATAATTACTTACAATTTGGGAAACTCTACTTAAAGACCCTGTTGATAGTGTTAAAATTAAAGCCATAGAAGGTTCACAATAAATGCTTAAACTCATTGATGATAATAATGAATTAGATACACACATTCAAACCTATTTTGCATTAGCAGATCCTAGAGAAAAAAGTTGGCGTGTTAGATACACCGTTCCAGAATGTTTAGAAAGTATTATTGATATAGTAGTCAAATTGAGTAATAATTAAAATTATAATAATTAGATAAGGATAAAAGTATTCTTAAAAGTAAAGCTGTCCCTATCTTTTAATAATTACTCAAAGATACAGAACCTGAAGTCAGATCTATTACTGTGATGACTATTTATCATTTATTGAAAGAGATACCATCTACATTCAAAGATTAATTTTTACCTTATTTCTAAGCTCTTTCAACTGATACTTCCTAACATGTAAGAATGTCATTAGCTGAATAAATTTGCAAAATATCAAAACAGTATTCAGTCTAAGTTGTAATACAAACTTTCATTCCTTTAATATCTACTCTAATTAAAGATGATGTTGTAGAAATCAAAATTAAATTGGCATATAATTTAGATCAATTATCTCAAATCATAGGACCTGAAAATTCTATAAAACATTTGATACCTCTTGTTACTTCATTTGCTACTGAAAAACAATGGAGATTTAGACTAGAGATGATGTCTATTATACCAAAACTTTTAAAAGTTGCAGGATATGATAGTTTTCTAGAATTATAAGAGATATATCTTGATAAAGGAGTTCTAAATCATTATTAAGCAATTAGAGACTAAGCAATTGAGAATTTAATTCCAATTTGTGAAAATTTTGGTTATGAAAAAATTAGAGATTTTGTTTTAAAATGCATTTCAAAATAATTCGAATAACCAAATTATATATTTAGAGTTTCTGCTATGCACAGCATTATTAAATTAAGAGATATACTTTCAATTGATGATTTACTTAATTTATTTTAGGTATTTATTAAATTAATTATTATTTTCTAGGATATTACCTCTAAATCAATTAATGACAAAGTACCTAATGTTAGATTAAATATATTTAAATTATTTACTGCTATTCAAGATAAATTAGATGACAGTACATAAAATGAATTTAAAAATAAAACAAGATTCTTATAACAAGATGATGATAAAGATGTACAATTTTATGCATCAACAATTTGAAATACAATTTTCATAATTCAATTTATTCATTTACTTCTATTTTTAGTTTATTAAATTATTTTTCAAGATTATTATATAATGAAACTAAATTTATTTATCATGTTTAATAAATTAATTAAAATTTTTGGATCTCTATTAATATTTTTAAATAAGTATATAAAAATCTAGAATCTACTAATATAACCTCCATAACATTATATATCATTAATTTTCTATGTATATTTTACTTTTTTATCCCGTTTTATATAGAAATAATTTTAGAAATTTTTTAAAATCTTTAATTCTATTAAAAACTTTTTTGTTCAAATATATAGAATCATAATGAAAGATAAAGCTTATTGAATTATTTTAGACATAAATATATCTTTTGATGTAGAATATGAAATTAAAATATCTATAAAATTATATATATATATAATTGAATTAAGTAATATCAAGTAGATGATTAAGGTTTGTAATTTTTAAAGAATTGTTTTTAGTCATCAGTCATAGTTACATCTATTTATTTTGCATCTTTAATTATTTTAGGAACATCGATTTATAATTGATCTTTAATGAAGCCAGTAAAGAATTCCGAAATTTAACCAATATCTTTTTAGATTAGATCATATCCAAACTCATTAAGAAATGCAATACTTAGTTTAATGATTGAAAATATATCTGTCGCCAAAATAAAATCCCAAAAGAAAATTACACTATCAATAGGAAATGTGTATAAAAACTAAGTTAAAATCCATTACCAAATATATTATTAATCACTTATACCTTCATCTTAAAAATGTTGATAGAGTGCTGGTAATTATTCATTAAAATTTTTCAAAAACACCTAACATAAAGCTTTTGTATAATTAAAATTGACTCTATAGATTTCCCACCATAAGAATAGAGGGTTAGTATTAATGAAATGAATTAACCAAAAGACTTCTTCTTCTTTGCCTCCACTTACAATTAATGAGAATCCAACTATATAATTCATACCTTATACATATCCAATATCTTCATTTAGAATTGATAAGGCTTTGAGAATAGAGAACAATTATTATTAACCTTAATTATATTCCTTAAAGTGATCATGTGAAGGAAAAGTTCTATTTACATCTTTAGTAATATCTTCAAGAACTTTTTGAGCAGGAGTTTGATTTTTCAACTTTGAATAAAGAAGGGGATCATAATCTTTATTCCTATAGACTTAAGCCATCCAGAAATTCCATCTATATTTAGAGATGGCTCCATCCATAAGAATGTTTTTAAAATCTTCGTTATTGATTTCTTTTAGCAGATAAGCATCCATAATATCTTAATTTGTCAATTTAAAAGGGCCATCAAGTTATTAAGCTAACGACATTAATATTTTTTTATAGAAATGCTTATTGGAATTAATTTTTGGCTCTTTACATTGATCATCTTCATTAGTCTGTTATTATAATTACTCAATAGATGTTGATCGTCTTATTAAAGCAATATATGTATCGTCATTTATAAGTTCATATTTCTTTTGATAGTATTGATTCCATTTAGATTGTTTCAAAGAATAAGCTGGATCATTTTTTTCAATTTCTTATTGAAACTCTTCACCAACATATTTATGTGTGTTTATAGTTTTTGGTGGCACATCAGGAGTTGGTGTATTTACAGGTTTAGCATTACCTCTGATGACAATTTTATTTGTTTTATCTTTTGTACAGATAGGTCCCATTTAACTTAAATAATTTATATATATGTAAGAATATCAGTTTTTGTAGATCCTAATAACATCTTGAATTTTGGTTCTGCAAATTGGACAATCTTTTAAATTCTTGCTACATTTGAGACATGCAGTATTATGTTTACAGGGCATATACAAAGCATCCCGATCATTTTCTATACAAATTATACAATTATTCTCATTATTCTTATCAGTAATCAACTAAGTAGTTCTTTTACATAAATATGTAGAAGTGGTTCCAATTTTGAAAACTGTTTAGTTCTCTAAAGGATATAACTATGAGAATTATCCTTCTTTTGATAACCTAATCCAGGAACTGTCATTCAAATAAATAAAAATACCCATTAGTTGATCCCATATCTTCCAAATAGACACGTCCCTCAATAAGACAAATCTTGGCATGTATATTCGAAAGATGATGATCTTCACTAAAAGTAAGGTCTGCATTTTATTTTCTGCCTACAGTAGTAACACATTTTTAAGGATTTAAAGCAATTATATGTTTTTCAGATGAATTTAGTCCTTCAATAATGAACATGATAATCTATATAGAAATAAAGATTTTATTACTTCAACTAATTAATTATTCATACACAATTGTTAAATCTCAAATTGATTGCTACCTAACTCTATAATCATTCCAACTTGCAATTCTAATTTACTTTCTACTTTGATAAAAGTTCCAGTTGTTGATCCAATGTCTTTTATGTAAAACTATCCCATAAAAAATTTAATCTTACTTATTCATTTTAAAATACTATTTCCGCGTGAAATCTACTTATACTTTCTTCTAATATCAAAATCTAATTATTTGAGTGCCTTCCTATTTTTCCTCCTTATTCTTTAATACAATAGAAATTAGTTTAAGGTCCTTCAGTTGGTTAAATAATGAGTTCATTTTATATTTGTGTTACAAAATTTTCTATTTCTTATTCTAATTAAATGCCGGTTTATTATTTTTTTAAAAACTAAGGTTTATTTTCACTATTATATGATGTATTTTATTACATTTCACATAATGGTTGCTAGAACTATTAAGATTACATTTCATTATTCTTAATATAATTAGTCATCATTTCATGTGATATATTAATTTATCCATATTGTGCTTATGCAGATTCTGTATTTTCAAGTGTAGCGTTTTCTTATTCCATCTTATCACATCTCTTATCATCAATAATAACTGATTTTATGTGTTATGTATACTCCTTTAATCCAGTTTTCAACCCTTTCTTATAAAATTATATTTACAATGCATCAACTTTTTTCTAACTATCTTACTATTGATTCCTAAATCATCTACTAAGTCATTTTCTTCTATTAATTCTAAACATGATCCATCAATCGAATTATTTGCTATTCTTATTCATAAATATATACTGAAAGTGCTTTGCAAAGACTATAATCCAACAAATTTAAGCCATAATGAAACATCCTCCCGAGACCATTTTTTTGGTTCCTTGGGTAGAATGACAAATAGGGTTTCATAATCCATATTTTATATTTTAAATTTAAAAGCACTAACTGAAAATAATTATTAACAAATATATTTCTTTGATCTTTCTATTTGATAAGTAGACATAATCTGGAATTGCTAATGTTTAAATTATTGGCTCCTATAATTATATTTTTTGCATTCAATTCTGATTCTATCTTCTTCATATTATTCTAATTTCCAAGTGAAAATATAATATATGCTTTAGACCAACTCTTAGTAATTATCTCTATTGGTTTAGGAATCTTGACTCTCAAATGTTTACTTTACTCTTTTAAAATTATATGATCATTAACATCATATGTATTGACATAACAGATAAATTAGTATTATTCTTAGGATATGAAGAAGGCAAATAAACTTAATCTACTACTATTCACAAAATCATTTTGGATTATTATAATAAAAATATGTATTTTTTCTCCAAGAAATTTTTCAAATCATTAAACTTAAAATTACTACTTATTTGATACTCATTATTTTTTACCTACTTTCTATTTTTCAATCTTTATTCATTCAAAATCCTTATCTAAACTCAATTTAATTCAAATTCATCATATCCTTTCATATGACTCATTGTTTAGCAAAGAACCTACAATAAATTATTAAGAGATTCTCTCCAGATTCCCTAAAATACAGATTCAATTATTTTCAGTTAAGTCCTATTCGAATATAAACTCTAAGAACTTTCCAAATTATTGTATATAGTACATAAACATTATCTTCGGATAAGCTTATATTTGATTAATAAGATTTATGGTTCCATTGTCATTTGTGAATTAAGTTATCTTTCATTCCTAAATTCATTTTTATAGGAACAGCATTTAATTTCCCATTCCAATATAAATATACTTTACACAATTCAAGAGATTATTGATTATTACAAATGTAATCCTATTTAATTTAGAATATAAAAAAAATTCTCTAATATACTTATTCATTCAATTCATTCTTCATAAATAAATCCATTTCCATAATTTAAAAAAAAATCATTCTACCTACTTAATTGGATTATTCAATTAAAGTAATTGTATTTTCTAATTAGATGTTCTAATTCTTCAACAATTATAATTCTGGAAAAGAAGATTAAGGATTAGCATTTTAACATTATCCTTACTAAAATTAATAATATTTATTCTAATTTACTTTTATTATAATTATTAGTATATATATTTTTAATTTCAATCTTAAAAATATCTTCTTGATTTTCATAATTTATAATATTTGAGACATAATAAAGGGAGTAAATACTTTTAACAAAATAGCTTTTCTTATCATAAAATATATATTATAAATCATTAATTTAATAAACTGAAAATACCAGGAATTTCCTTGAGCATAGTATGAACATTCAAGTTCTATTAAGCATTATCATCTTTATTCTCCTCTTTAGTAATTGGTTCTATATTTTGACTTTAGATAGAATCTGCTTAATTGGTTTAAGTTGATTGCATATATTAGAGATTTTTATAGTTTTCTATAATAATTCTTAATTTTGGTTCCTCTAATACATCTATGTAATCGACAGGTTAAGATAAGATAGTATTTGGAGATATCTTATAGTCTTTAATATAATAAACAAAGCAGAGACGAGCTTTAAATTTCTCGAGTGTATNAATTAGTATTATTCTTAGGATATGAAGAAGGCAAATAAACTTAATCTACTACTATTCACAAAATCATTTTGGATTATTATAATAAAAATATGTATTTTTTCTCCAAGAAATTTTTCAAATCATTAAACTTAAAATTACTACTTATTTGATACTCATTATTTTTTACCTACTTTCTATTTTTCAATCTTTATTCATTCAAAATCCTTATCTAAACTCAATTTAATTCAAATTCATCATATCCTTTCATATGACTCATTGTTTAGCAAAGAACCTACAATAAATTATTAAGAGATTCTCTCCAGATTCCCTAAAATACAGATTCAATTATTTTCAGTTAAGTCCTATTCGAATATAAACTCTAAGAACTTTCCAAATTATTGTATATAGTACATAAACATTATCTTCGGATAAGCTTATATTTGATTAATAAGATTTATGGTTCCATTGTCATTTGTGAATTAAGTTATCTTTCATTCCTAAATTCATTTTTATAGGAACAGCATTTAATTTCCCATTCCAATATAAATATACTTTACACAATTCAAGAGATTATTGATTATTACAAATGTAATCCTATTTAATTTAGAATATAAAAAAAATTCTCTAATATACTTATTCATTCAATTCATTCTTCATAAATAAATCCATTTCCATAATTTAAAAAAAAATCATTCTACCTACTTAATTGGATTATTCAATTAAAGTAATTGTATTTTCTAATTAGATGTTCTAATTCTTCAACAATTATAATTCTGGAAAAGAAGATTAAGGATTAGCATTTTAACATTATCCTTACTAAAATTAATAATATTTATTCTAATTTACTTTTATTATAATTATTAGTATATATATTTTTAATTTCAATCTTAAAAATATCTTCTTGATTTTCATAATTTATAATATTTGAGACATAATAAAGGGAGTAAATACTTTTAACAAAATAGCTTTTCTTATCATAAAATATATATTATAAATCATTAATTTAATAAACTGAAAATACCAGGAATTTCCTTGAGCATAGTATGAACATTCAAGTTCTATTAAGCATTATCATCTTTATTCTCCTCTTTAGTAATTGGTTCTATATTTTGACTTTAGATAGAATCTGCTTAATTGGTTTAAGTTGATTGCATATATTAGAGATTTTTATAGTTTTCTATAATAATTCTTAATTTTGGTTCCTCTAATACATCTATGTAATCGACAGGTTAAGATAAGATAGTATTTGGAGATATCTTATAGTCTTTAATATAATAAACAAAGCAGAGACGAGCTTTAAATTTCTCGAGTGTATGATAATTTTATAAATTATTCATGATTTATTGATTTCTAAAATAATGATAAATTATCTTACTCAAATTGATCTCTCATGAGTATCCATTTAGTAGTAGGTTTCAATTTTTTTAAGAAATCATAATAAATTAATGTCAATCCTACATTTCCTTGTTTAGTACCAACACATTATCTAGAATACTTCAATTTATCAGCCAAATTAAAAAGGTCTCCAGCCACGGCAATATTTTTAGAATAAACCCATCCAATTATCATTTTGAATTAAGATTGTTTTTGAGTTAAATATTCAACAACTGTTTTTGCAGATGAATAAGTTTCACAAGTGACTGTAATTAATTCTGGTCTTGGAAAATATTAGATCAATTAATGATCATAAGTTAATAAAGATGGTCTTATTAACCATGATTCTCTATTCTCATCTGACTTCTTCTTTAATAATAGATTTAGTTCTCCTATATTCATCAATAATTCTTTCTCTTTAATTTTAAATGTATCATTTTAGCCTTAAGGATTAGATATTGATGTTTAATTATTTACTTTATTTTGTTAGAAATGAATATCTTGTTTATTAAATTTATCTTATTCATTATTTTATATTATTTATTAACAAATTATTTAAGGAATAGATTAAGATGCTATTTTAACTATTTTAATTGATTATTATTATTATTATTATTTTTTATGTTTTTCCATAATGATCGATTATTAATTCTCAGTTTTTTTATTATCTTTTATTTTTCTCATTTCTTCATATGATAAACTAATATTATATTATAATGAATACTTTTTTTATTTATTTAATTTTATGATTTCTAAAATCTTTTTCATCTCTTTTAAGTATTTCTCTCTATTAAGATTCATTTCCTAAAATATTGATACTTCTAAATTAAATATAGATTATTCATTCACTTATCTCCAATTTTTATACTTATATAATATTTTCTTAAGTCTCTCCCTAGATATTTTTCTTAAATCTTCCCAAACATCATCTGCTTTAGTTTATTGTTACTGTTTATTCTGAATTTTCTCTTCTTTCAATTATTTCTTATTTTATTTTTCTTAATTTAGAATTTAATTCGCATTTTACATACTTTCTTTCATCCAACCTATCCATTCAAAATCATCTCTTAAACTCTTAATATTAATTTATATAACTTACATAATCTATAAATTTTAAATCTGCACTATTTGTATTCTTTTATCTCTATTTATAAAGTAATCCCAATTTTTATTACCATTCCTCTCCTCCCAAAGTTATTAACATATCAACTTCATTAAGTCTTTCTTACATCTAATCATTGTTACTTCTTTATTTCAAACATCTTAAAGATTGTTATTTTATCATATTATACATCAATTATAAACTAAATCCTTTAATTTTCAAATAACAATGACAATAACATGTTCGTATTTTGAATAATTATTAAATATATAGATTATTATCAGGTTATTTCTGTACTAGTTCATTATATTGAAATAACACTTACTTTACTTCTTAAATATCATCTCCTAACTCCTTTAATTTGAGTCCTTGATATTATTTTGCTTAATTTAAAATTTCACTCATAATTTCAGCATCTGGTTTATTCTCCAAAAATTCAAAGTATTATTAATATGTTTGTAAATTATTAATCAATTCCTTGTTTCTTAACCAAATAAGTCTTTATTCTTAATATTCTTTATATTTCTGATTCAAATTCTCATAAATTTTAATATTTTCTTTTAATTTATTTAATAATTGATTATTTGTTTTAATATTTGCAATTTGAGCACAATTAATAAGAGTTTTCAAACTTAGAATATTGGCTTTTGATTCTAAGAATTCTTCAGCTTTTTGCATCCAAAGCATCTGAATATAAAATGACCATAATTGACTTTACATATTTGGTTCATAATAATAATTATTATTAATTAATTGAATTAGTAAATATTGCTCTGGAGCTTTTGAACCCTCTAATTGCAACTCAAAATCTTTCATAGATTGTAACCAAATGTCATATTAACATTTTATTTTTTGCATCAACATCAAATAGTAATGATCTTGTATCTATATATCACTATTCAATAATTTAATCACTTAATTTATGTTGTACTTCTTTTTTCCATTTTATGCTTCAGAATTATTAGATTCATTCAATAATTTCTGACATTCATATCTCCATTATATTTATCTAAAATTCAATACAATTTAAGATATCTCATCAAATACTACTTATGGTATGGTCACTTATGAAATAATTTCATTACTAAAATCTAAATCTTTAATTTCCTTTATTTTCTATAACATTATTTGTAAATTATCTTATCTCTTATATGCTATATAATAGAATTGTTTGATGAATTCTATTTATTATTGACTTTATTAAATATATAATTCAAGTTCACCAGATTTTAGATATCTATATTAATCTAAACAATCGATGATATTAGGTTTATTTTCAATTATTTCAATAGCTTAAATTAAATCTTTCCTTCGAGATTAGATATCTAATTCAAAACCATATGATTTACATTCATTATCTATTTATTCCAATTCTTTAATTGTTAAAATCTCTTTTAATTTATTATCAAATTCTTAGAATTTTCTCAATTTTATTTTGTAATTCTCTAAATATTCATTTGTAAATAAACACTTATCCATTAAATCTAAAATATCTGAACAAGATTCACTTGTTATTTTTTCTTAGTTTTGACATCTATTTTAAATTTCAATTAATTAATCAAATACTCTTTTAATAATAGATGATTCTTAAGCTGCTTTTTATATATTATCAAAACTATAAAGTCCTTAATAATCTCTTTCAGTTAATCTACAATTTTTCTCTATTTTTGATTCTAAATCTGCTTTAAATTCTTAGATCAATTAAGATTCAAAATGAGATTAAATTTGATTCAACAATTTTTCATTATTAAAAGGAAATTCTATAATTTATTATAAATTAGTTTTCATATTTACATCTTCCAGAGTTGTACTTTCTTATATTAATTTTTCTATTAATTTAATACATCCCATTGTAATATTACTTTTTATAGCCATCTTTTTTAATTCAATTAATTTATCTACTAATGGCTTACTTTTCTAATTTTTCATTATTATATATTATTTATAAACTGTTAATTCTAATTAATTTTCTATATATGGAATATCCCATTAAAACTTAGCTCCTTCAAAGAGTTATTTAAATTCTTTTTTAATATTTGATGATACTACATAACGATTAATTAATTAAAATAGAGTTTCATTAGGATGGATAAACAATTTATGTGCATCAAGTATATTTTCGTCCAAAAGATTAAATGTAGTTTCTACTAAATAACCATCATTAATCCCTTTTTCTATTTTAAATTTCATTTATTTTCTTGATAATATAAATTATTTTAAAACCTTTCTTTCTTCTTTATCAAAAGAATATCCTTTATTTCTTAATTATTTTGATAATTCTTCAAAAAATGATTTATTTTTTTCTAATTAAATAGGAAGTAAAGATAACATTTATTATTTCAATTCTTCTAATAATTTTTATTTTAATAATATTTTATCTAATTAAATTTCTGCAGACGGTTTAATTGGCATAGAAGCTAAAAAAGATTTTATAAGTTTCAAATTTTTATAATCATCTTAAGTTAAGATTAATCTAGGTAATCTTCTCATAATTGCTTCCATATATAATAATATAGGTAATACATCTAATAAATAAATTTTATATATTTCCTTTGGAATAATTAAATCTTCTAAATTTAATAAGATAGGATTATCTAAATCAATTTATTATCTTCTGTTATTCCATTTTTTACAACCTTCACATAGATAATAATCTTATTTAATTTATTTCTTTTTTATACATCCAAAATGAAACCATTCATAACAATATTCACATTATACCATTTATTAATTATCTAATGAATTTCTACATATACAAAAAATGACATGACTTTCCATATGAGATTAACAATAACTTTCAATCTTATTATAATCTGTCCAAAATTGTTATTTTTTAATGGGCAATGTATAATTATTAAAAATAGATTCTAAATTTAGTAAAACTTCATCCTTTAATTCTTTTGTTGATTTCTCATTTATTTATGGAACTTCAAAAATATTATCTATTGTAATTGAAAAAGCCTCTTAAATATCATATAATTCATTTTTTATTTCTTATTAATCTACATCTATAATATTTGGATCCTAATTATTGCCATGAAACTTAAGATTTAAAATCCATTATTCATTTTCAATCTATTCTAACTCTTTCTAAATTTTCTCTTTAAAAATACAATGTGGATGTGCAACAGCTTAACAATCCAAACATTTTATTGATGCACCAAACTAATCACAATTTGAACATTTTTCCTTTGTTTTTTTATCTTTTTAATTTTATAAACTAAATGACATTGTATGATAGTCTCTCACTTATATATAAGGATCAAAAATAGCACATATAACATGTACATACATTTCATTATATCCAGAAACTCTCCTTAGTAATCCATTTTATCCACATATATAACATACAGGTGTTTAAACATTATCTTAACATGGATCACAATATTCATCTAAATTATTATACCCATAACAATATCTATGATATTTTAATTTACATTTTTGGCATTCTTTTAATTAACAACCTTTGTCTTTTCTTAAGAAGTTCAATCCACAAACTGAGCAATTCATTTATTATTATTATTTCTACTCTTTAAATACTTTTTATAATAATACATGCTCAAATATTACCTGCCATTGTATCAAAATCATTATTCTAAATCAATCTATCAGAATCCATGATTATCTATACAAAGGACTTTTAAATTAACATATTTATAATCACTTTCCAATAGTCAATAATAAATAACATATACCTATATATTATTAATTTATTCTATGTTCCAATTTGCTTATGCATTAAGAGAGAGCCTTGTTAACATCCACTCATTATATATTACATTTAATTATAATATTATATAAAAATAAGAAAATAACCATCTCCTTTAGCTTTTATAGTGATTAACAATAAAAGATAATTTTTTCACTTGTTTATTATAAATTTTCCATTTTTACGAAATTATTCTAAATTTCAAAAAGGTTTTTATATAATAGTCTAATTATTTGAACTTTATAACAAAATTTATTTAATATTATATTTTACTCATTTATCAATAACAATTTTTTGGTCAAATTTAATTGAATTAGCTCTAGTTAAATCTAATTTTTTAGTTCATTTTAATTTTTATAATGACTAGAGTAATTTATTAATAATTTAATTTATGTCATCTTTATCAGTTAATTGAAAATTTAAAAATTTTCATGTTTACAATGAGTTTCATCAAATTTGAATTGTAAAAATAATTATAAATATAATTTATTTGTCTATGTATGTTGAAAATGTAAGAAACACTTTTTAGATACATAATTTATTTTATTAAGTTCTTAGATTCAATTTAACTTAATAATATTTATATTTAATGGCAAAATATGAGTAATTAGATTCTCCATATGCAAAAGTGTTTTTCATTCTGTAATAATTAGTGAAAGCAGAATTAATTACTCATAGTGAAAAGGATCATATTAAAGGTAAATAGATATATGTTATAAAGACTTAATAATTCAAAACGACTAGTCAATATTGAATTTAATTGTAGTAGAAAGCTATCAGGAACTATTTGAAAAAGTTTAAGAATTTATTAATAAAAAAAGAGTTAGTTTAGAGGGATTATCTGATTTTGAAGATGATGATTCAACTAGCAAAAGTTTGAGAAAGTATTTAAGAAATAAATTAAAACTGGAAATAAAACAGAGTAATTTTAATTTGTTAATTAAGAAAATTTGATTACATAATTAAATGTCTAATATTTATGCGATTACATATATAAATTGTTTACATTCTTTTAAGTAATCTCATGGTTACAAGCCATTCTACAAAAATTAATTATTGTAAAATGTTGAGAATTCATTCCATTTATTTAAATAGTTTATCTAATTCTAATAATTGGATTAACATGGCAACTAATATATAAATTATTATTATGGAGAAATAAACCCTAACATAGGGTTTGTCATTTGAATCACTGGATATTGATTAATTACAAAGGGTAATTATGGAATTTGAATATGCTACTATTTGTTTTATTATAGATGTTGAAGTGAAATTTATTCTTAAATAATTTTTGGACTTGATTAATTCAAGGGTATATTATTTATGTGTTATTAGAATAATTTAGAATTAATGATCATTGAGGCATCTTAATAAGGTTGATGATAAGTTTATTGAGGAATTGAAGAATTAAAATTATTGTGATCTTCCATTTTTTTTTAATTTTCTTCTTTGATATTTGTGGCTTGATTATTCATATTAGAAGTGACATTTTAGCATCCTTTTATGAATATTGAAATAAAATACCTATAATATTTTTAATATTTTGATTCTCATTAGAACTGACTATTTTCTCGTTATTTTCATCTTTTTATTTATTCACTTTTGATCTTGTCATAATTTGACAATTTTCTGAACAAACTTCTTAAATTTATATTCTTTTTGAATTTAAGTCATCATTTTTTAGTATAGGTAATTTTCTTCTTTTTTAAAGTTTAATTTTTTCATCATTAGATGAAGAAATAGAATCTTCTTCAAAATCATCATCATCTGAATCATCTAGATCACACTAATATCTTCTCTTTAGATTGGCATAATATCTATTTTTCACCATGTTTTCCTATATCTATAAAAATATGATAATTACAGGCCTTCCTTTTAAAAAACTAGATATATAACTCCATTTAGTTCCGAATTTCCTATATAATTTCAGGATCAACCTATCTTCCTCTTCTGTCCATTTATCTTAATTTATTGTCCCTTATAATTGATTCAAATAACGCTCTCTAACTTATTTTCCTGTCCTCCAATCCATTACTGTACAAATTTTACTCCATTTTTTACCAAACTTTTAAACTAATTCTTTCAATTATTCATCTTCTTAAGATGTCCATAACTGTCTTGAAGGAGCCTAAGCTATTATTCATATTCTACTTAATTTGGATGAAGTTATTGCCATTTATGCATACATTCTAATGGTGTAGGACCATTTAATAATAAGCTAATAGATTTCCAGTTTCCTTGCTACTAAATATGGAGCTCTTTAAGTTTCTCTTAAGTTTATGGGGTCCATTCAAATTTTTTCTGAATTAATATTTATGCAATGTAATTACTTCACTCTAGGTCTAGTTGAGTACATTTTCTTATTTAGAGTCGAATGTAACACTCATTCTATAGGCAGAAATTATTTTAAATATATTATCAAAAATATCATCTATCTTCATCTATTTTTATACATTAAATATGACGAAATAATATAATAAGTATCTTTATTAAACTTATCTAAATAAAAAAGCAAAACAAACTGCAATCTATCAATATGCAACCTTAATATATCAATTTTCTTAACATCGACGTTAAAGATTTGTTTTGCCAGTGTTAACTTCAAAGATCTAAAGTTTATAACTCTTTTTACTCTAATAGTCCCCTATAAAATAATAATTTAAAATCATTAATAACAATATGTAAATAATATTTATATTTCTTTGCCGTTAAATAATAGAACTCACCATTCCATTTTTTCTCAATTAAATAAAATTCAAAAATTAAAATAATTTTCATATGAAGTTAACTAGATTATTTACTTTTATTTTTTTACACTTACTTTCTGTTTTGATAAATTTTATATAATTTTATTATATTTTTATAATATCAATTAAATACATTTAACTATAGTATTAGTAATGATTTTTTAGTCTAAATTATGTAATTCACTCTTAAATCAATAATATTTAACACTAATATAACTATTTTGTTGATTTATTCATAATTGGAATATTCGACATTATTATAATTTATATATTATTTTAGTGTTTTATTAAGACTCTTATAAATATTTATTTAATACCTAGAGTAATCAATTAAAGTATTTAGATTATTTTTATTATATTGTATACTTATAACTGTTACATTATTTCAAAGTATTATAATTTGTATTCTAATTTTTATAAACCTTCTAATATATGATTATACGAAAATTAAATTGTTAAACTTTTTATTTTCTTCATGATCAAAATGGATCTACCCATATAATAATTTAACTAATAATATAGATTAACAAAGAGATTTTTATCATAAAAGAGCTAATTGTCATTATTTCTAAATGTAAAATATTATTATTCTCTTAGTAGCTAATATTAATCAATAACTTTTTAAGAGACTATTTTAATTACACATTTCAGTTATCAACTATCTAGTAAAGGTTTAATTAGAAGGAAAATTATCAAAGGATAAAAAAACATATTATATAATAATGATATAATTACAACATAAAATCTAAGTAATAACATAAAGTATTAATCTTATTATATATAATTATTTTTAAGTTTTTTTTTATAATTTATTATTAAAGGATTTATAAAATTTTTAATATAGATCAAATAAGATATAAACATACCTTAATCAGAATCTAATTGATAAAATTAATGTATTTTTAGAAAGCTTCTCAATTTTTCTGGAATCAATCCTCTATTATTGAAAAAACTATACAATAAATACTATTATAGAACATTCTCAATTCATAATCTTCTTTTTATATATCTATTTTATTTTAAATTCAGTAAATAAGATTTTAATAAATGTAATTTTTAAATAAAATTGAGTTTTATAAATCAATCCTCTAAGTACTTATCTGAGATTTAAGACATTAAATTTTATATTTAATTTGCCTATGAAGAATTTATTTACATTTTCTAGTTTAAAATAAATAATACCTAATAAATTTCTAATGATTTTTGATAGTCAATATAAGCTTATTTATATCGACCTAATTCTTTATGACAATCTGCACAATTTTTAAGGGTAATAGCTAAATTGCCATGCATTTTACCACATAACTATGTATATATTTTAATAGATTCTTCAAAGCAATTTACAGCTTCTTCAAATTACTTTCTTTCATAATAAGATCTTCCAAAATTATTAAGAATAATTGCAATACTTGCATGATTTTCACCATACAATGCTTTTAAAATATCTTGAGATTTTAAAAAATACTATTCGAATTCATTAGAATTTAAATTCTAAGATTGAATTTTACCTAAAGAATGATAACAATCAGCAATATCTTAAGATTATTCTCCAATTATTTTTAAATTTATTTCTAAACTTTCAGTAATAAGTTTTTATGCACAAGATAAATCTAGAATAATTAAATGATTCTACTTTCTTGAGTATTTTTCATTCTTAGATAAAGATTACCTTTCAAATATATGGATTTTGCTGTTTTAATATGTTAATAACCTAATACTTCTGTCCATATGGATATAGCTTCTGTAATTGTATTCATTGCTTCTTCAATTTTTCCTTCATCTGAAAATAATTATGATAATCCATGTAATGAATCAGCAACTTCCTTTAATATAAATAAATAGTACAATTGATTATCTTGTATATAATTCTTCTCTTATTTTGATACTTTCAAATAACATTTATTCTGCCAAATCATCTTAAAACATAAATCTATAATAATTTCCCAATAATGTTAATGTCATAGCATAAACTCCAGTTTATTTTAGATCATGCTTAATTAATAATTAATAAGCATAATCAAGATATTTGAATGTTTGTTCATAATAACAACAATAAAAACAACATCTTCCTTAAATTATTATTATTGATTATTACCAATTTTAGCATAAGAGTTGCATAATCTTAAGATGCTATCTTTATCATTTTAAGTTTTGAAAAGCTCTTTTTCTATTTTTATCATATTAATTAAATATTGCATAGCACGATAAACTTAATTGATATCAATAAAGATTTAGGCATATCTCTCATAAATATTGCTTTAAAAAATCTTATAAATTATCAATAATACTAATTCTGTCACAGAACATTCTTCAGGATTATTTATTTTAATATTCAATTCATTTTACAATTTTTCTAATTTGCTTATACATTTTTAGAATTACTATTTTCTTATTAGTATATCAATTTTCTTAAAATTTTCTTCCATTTATTTTGTATAAATAAATTTTATTAAATTTATTGAATTTATTTTTTGAATAATGAGCGCAAATAAATTAAATCAACAAAATTTAAATAATAAGTTAAACAAATTAAATAATTTCAAAGTATTATGTCTCTATTAAAAGAGATAATTTCATCAATATCTTAAATGAAATGTATTTCATTTTAATTTTATAAATTACTATAGTTGAAAAGTTTAGAGATAAATTTAGAAATTTTCTAATTATTTATCTCATTAACAAGATGATGAAATCTTTTATTTTCATAAAAATTAATAATTTCTTAATTATTCAATATTTATTAAGTAATCCTATAATTAAATTATAAATATTTACAATTAATAAAAAACCAATCCACAATCAAGAAAATCTTTTTCGAATGAGAATCCTCCATTAGTAAATAAATTCATTTCTGTATAATCTTAAGTAAATAAAGTTTTTATTGATTTAATATGTCTTTAACTAGTAATATCATTTGACTTTTATTATCCAAAATCTATTAAAGTAATTTGATCCATCATTGAACAATAAAAAATATTCTCTAATTTAATATTTTGATGATTAAATCCTTCATTATGTAAATATTATACTACTTATAATAAATCCTATAATAAAATTTAAATTTATACTTTCATTATTTTTAAAATTTAATCTGTATTCAATATATTTTTCTTAATATATTTATCTAAAGAAGCTCCTTCTATGAATTCATATATTATATAATTATGGTTTGATTCGATATAATATTCTTTTAATTTTGGAATAAATTTATGCTTTAAAAATTAAAGTGCTACTACTTCATTTCGAAATTCCTAAAATAGATATAAAGTATACTTTCTCAAATTCAACTTTTCCTTATTTCAAAATTTTACAGGTTACTAACTCTTCATTATAAATACTCCTCATACGAACTAACTATAAAAATATAAAAACAATAATATACAGAACCATAATTTCTTTTCTAAATATATTAGGCTATTTTGTAATGATTATTTATTCCTTAAAAACATACTTTTCCATTCAAGAACTCTTTCAATAGGTTTCCAATATTAGGAGCAAATTTATAAATAGACTTTTTTTTATTAAGGAACAACTCAAATGAAATGATTTCAGAATTATCATTTTAAATCCACATGATTTTTGGTTCAAATGAATTAAGTTAAATTACAAATGAATGTTAATCCTAAATAAACTATAAATATACGTTGGATAATTGAATCTCATCTTTTAACATAAAAATTTTGTATTTTTGGATCGAAAAGAAATTGCTTTTGTAGCAGATCATGTATAGTATTTTATTATAAGATAATAATAAATATATCTAATATTCAACTTATTCATATTAATAATCGTTTATTTCCTTTATATTTGATATATCGGTTTTTTTGTGATTCTAAGTTGTGTTATGAGATGTCTTCGAAATAACAACAATTAATTATATTAATATAATCAGATTGTATATAGTTCAATAATCTAGTTTAAAGATTTTAGAGTCTAGCACTTTGAATTGTCTATTTCTTAACACAACTTAACATTATTTTAAGTATTAATTATTAGAACAAATAATAGAGATAATAAGAAAATAACAATGGCTAAAGAAATATAAAATAATTGTTATTTTAACATTCCATTTTGAAATCATATACTTTAAGGTTTCATTTTTTTTTTGAAATGCTTATGGTTAATAATATATTTATATATATCATTTTAATTAAGTAATAAAAAATGATCATTCAATCATTTAAACCACTAATTACTTTACTTAAAACCATTGATGTCTACCTTACTTATTTGGATATTAATTGCATGGGACCAAGTTTTTATTCAATTTATTCAATTTCATCATGAATTTTGAATCGTTTCATTGGTAGAGTTTATACAGATAATTTTTATTCATCTTCACCCATTCCCAATTAGGATTATATTTTTTAGATTTATTCTGTTTCTTTCATAATCTTATATTTATATTATAGTAGGTTACATTTTCACTAATACGATTAATGGATTGAATCTCATTTTATAATAATAGATTTCCTATCATGTCTGTTAAATATACTAAATCATCGTATAATGATAAATCAAATTTATCTACTATTTTTTATTCACCAAAAACATATTGAATTTCTCTTACACAACACATTTTACTTATATCTTAAAAGTCTATTAATTCATCTCCATTTTATTTTAACATTATTTTACGTAGATTCTTTCTCAATCCAATTAGTTGTTTAATTACTTAAAATAATTTTCTATCATTATTTATATAATCCTATAATTATAGATATTAATACTTTTAATTTTCCAAGATTATGAGTTAGTTAATATATCTGTTAACTAAATTTGATATAAGATTAAGATTATGGATTTTTAATATTAAGAAATACAGCAATTGATTTCTTTGAAGTATTTTCTTTTACTCTCTTAAATTTAACATCTCCATATTATACAATTTCTGTTTCTGTTCTCACTTTTTTGAATTTAGTTTACTTTTGAGTATTTTTTTGAGATCTTAATGTATTAAGATGATCTAAATAATCTTTCATTGTTTTTTCATCAGATGCTGATGATCTAACAGTTAAAAGAGGTAATTTTGGTCTTTCATTAGAATTAGATTTTCTAATAGGAGGTAAACTAAAATCATTATTCTCAATAAGGCTTTGTTAAACTGGAAGTATTTTTTCCAAAAGTGTTCTTTAAGTTATTTATGTCTTTTGAGATGATTTTAAAGTATTGATACTATTGGATTAAGAGTTTTGAAATGGAATAGTTTCATTTAACTTGAATTCTGGCAATATTAGATGATGCTTATATATAAGACTCATAAATATATTAAAATGATTTAAGTATTTCTTTATTATCATAGTCAATAAATCCATTATCTCTAAAACAATTAGAAACTGTCTTACACAAAATTTTAGTTATTGAAATGATATATTATGATTAATATGATTAATTAGAATAATTCTAAAAGTTTTGTAGCTGTTAATCGAAGTCTAACAAACAAAAATGTGTAAGAGTTTATTCGTTAAGACTTAAAAAAACTTAGACGTAAGAAAAAGAATTTTGATTAACTTTTTTAAGAAGTAGAAGAAATAGCTTAGATTTCTTTATCAAAGAATAATTCTGAAGAAAATATTGATGAAGATGATTAAGACACAATTGAATTGATTAATTAGACTTATTAATTAAAAAAATAAGAATTAGAATAGAATTCATCATAAAATAGCAGTAGAATTTTACCAAATGTTTTAAGTAAATAAAAATCAGACAGATCATTAAGAGAATCAAAAGATATAAGTAAATTAACAAGTATTACTAAAATACATATTACTTAAAATGATGATTCACTTATAAGTGATAAAAGTATTAAATTAAAAAAGACTTCTTATACTCAACGTAATATAAAAACAATTAGACATTCTGATTAACACTCTAAAACATAACCAAAAGTAAGACTATTATCCAAAAAATAAGAAATCTAAACTACTTAAAATGATGAAAAAGATAAGTTACCTTTAATTTGGCAATAATATTATAATATTTAACCAGAAACAGAAAAAGTTGAGGTTAAAAACTCCTTTTTAAAATTAAATGATTAATTCAAAAAAATGAGAGAATAAGTACTTGAACCTTTCTTAAAAGATCAAAAATTAAAAGTAAAATTAATGACACCACTTATTATAAGAAAAGATAAACCATATTTTGTAGCTGAAAATAAAGATAATAGTATACTAATTTTAATAATATTATCTAGAGAATCTAATTGATAATATGAAAAATGAAAATACGAATCTAAATAGAGATGAATACTTAATTGTTAGTTATGAGCATATCTTAGATTATATATGAATTATTAAATCATGAAACATTATGAAAATAATTATTACACTTTGTACATTATTTAGTTGCTTGAGATTTCTCACATTAAACTATATAAATATATTTATTTAATTACTTGTCAAACAACTTGAACAAGCATAAGCAATAGGATTCGTAACTTTATTACAACAAGAACAAAATGATTTATATTACAATTCACTCAATTTGGCTTAATAGAATCCATAACTATCTCCAGGATTAAATGATGATAACTAGTTCTATTCATCTATTTACCAAAATTTCTGCTAAAATCTTATTGAAATTTTTATCCTATTCTACTCTATGTACAATCCCTGATGTCAATTATATTCCTAATTTCAATCCTTCATTCCCTAATACATCTTATTTTAATTCACTTTGAGCTTAGATATCTATTTGTAAAAGATCTAAACGAATTTTCTCTTTGCTAGCATAAGTACACAATTTCAAATATTTATTATATGATTCTTACCCTAATTGAAAAAATTAAGATGTTATAAATGTAATCTTAGAATCTTTACATGTTTATCTATCCTTATTTATACGACACATTATTTAACTTAAGCATTTTATTATTTTGGATTCCCAAACATCATCTACTCCTTTCTTCGATATAATATCATATAATGTCTTTAAGACTTTTTAAAATTCATGATTGTATTCAAATCCTGAATTCTCACCACTTCTATATAATTAATAGATATCATATGTATCTATTACATATATTGTAAATAGATTATGGAAATCTGTACACAATTATAATCCTAAACTGGTCTTAATACACTATAGAATTCCTACAAAATTCTCTTTTAAAGGTTTCAAGAATTTAGTGTTTATGTCCAATATTAAATAGAGCTAATGATTTTACATTAATTAATTAAGATAATTAGAATGCAATAAGTTCAAGCATTTCCTCCCTAGTTTTTCTAAACCTTAAAAATCTAAACTATCTTGGGTTAAGGACATGATGCTAAAGTTCTTCTAGCACTTGAGACCAAAGAAACTGGAAACAAAGAATACGCCTTGAAGTGCCAAGCCCAAAAAATATAAGACACCGCCATTAACTTATTCGTATTACTTCCAATAACTTGAAGTTACTAAGAATGAAATACAAATTCTCATCCACATCAAGCATCCCCATATTATTGAGCTATTCGGTTACAGCCAAGATTATACATGTCTAGTCCTTCAATATTGTCCTTATGGTACCTTAATTTAATTGATTAAATCCTCTCCACTACCAGTTAGCATTGCTTCCTCACTTCTATACTAGGTAACTCTGGCTCTAAATTATATGCATGAATAAGGATTTACTCATGGGGATCTTAAATTATCGAATATTCTTATAGACAATTAATATAACCTTAAATTATGTGATTTTGGTTTTGCAAGATGGAATGGCAAAATGGCAATTGAAAAATAAACTATTGCTGGTAGTGAAGGATATACTGCACCAGAAATATGGAAACCTAATCCTAATTACATAAAGAGTGATATGTTTTCGATTGCTGTTATTTTTTTCATTTTAATAACTGGCCATCCTCCATTCGAATCTAATAATCCAGATAATCATGATCCATGGTGGAATTTAATTAAAAATAATTAATGGGACACCTATTGGAAAGACATAAGAATAAATATAGATTAAGAATGCAAAAATTTATTTGTTTAAATGTTCAGTATCCAACCTGAAGAAAGATTAAGTGCAAATCATTTAAATGAATGGTTTAAATTAAAATAAACTACTCAAGAGAATTTGATTCAAGAAATTAAAAAAAGGTTAGCTGAATTGTGAAATATAATCAATGATCTATTATTTAAATCATTTGCCTTTTAAATACTCAAATCAATTTATTCTAATAATCTTAATTAGTCCATCATATTTCTATTCCATTTTTTGTAAATGTGAATTATTATATAAATTCTTCTGTTAAATAAGTCAAAATCAATTAATCATTTTTTTTTATTTTATTTATTACGTTAAATCAATTTTCTATGATCGAAACAAGATTTAATAAATATATTATTGTTGTATAAAAATTGATACAAAAATTTATAAAATATTAATATAAAGTAAAAATATTATTCTTCGTAATGGAAGAAGTTTTTTTTTATTAACTTATTATAATTTATTAAATTGGAATCAAAAATTTTATTCTTACACACTATTAACAATTAATAGAATAATATTATTTATATATAGTTATTATCATNCCTCCCTAGTTTTTCTAAACCTTAAAAATCTAAACTATCTTGGGTTAAGGACATGATGCTAAAGTTCTTCTAGCACTTGAGACCAAAGAAACTGGAAACAAAGAATACGCCTTGAAGTGCCAAGCCCAAAAAATATAAGACACCGCCATTAACTTATTCGTATTACTTCCAATAACTTGAAGTTACTAAGAATGAAATACAAATTCTCATCCACATCAAGCATCCCCATATTATTGAGCTATTCGGTTACAGCCAAGATTATACATGTCTAGTCCTTCAATATTGTCCTTATGGTACCTTAATTTAATTGATTAAATCCTCTCCACTACCAGTTAGCATTGCTTCCTCACTTCTATACTAGGTAACTCTGGCTCTAAATTATATGCATGAATAAGGATTTACTCATGGGGATCTTAAATTATCGAATATTCTTATAGACAATTAATATAACCTTAAATTATGTGATTTTGGTTTTGCAAGATGGAATGGCAAAATGGCAATTGAAAAATAAACTATTGCTGGTAGTGAAGGATATACTGCACCAGAAATATGGAAACCTAATCCTAATTACATAAAGAGTGATATGTTTTCGATTGCTGTTATTTTTTTCATTTTAATAACTGGCCATCCTCCATTCGAATCTAATAATCCAGATAATCATGATCCATGGTGGAATTTAATTAAAAATAATTAATGGGACACCTATTGGAAAGACATAAGAATAAATATAGATTAAGAATGCAAAAATTTATTTGTTTAAATGTTCAGTATCCAACCTGAAGAAAGATTAAGTGCAAATCATTTAAATGAATGGTTTAAATTAAAATAAACTACTCAAGAGAATTTGATTCAAGAAATTAAAAAAAGGTTAGCTGAATTGTGAAATATAATCAATGATCTATTATTTAAATCATTTGCCTTTTAAATACTCAAATCAATTTATTCTAATAATCTTAATTAGTCCATCATATTTCTATTCCATTTTTTGTAAATGTGAATTATTATATAAATTCTTCTGTTAAATAAGTCAAAATCAATTAATCATTTTTTTTTATTTTATTTATTACGTTAAATCAATTTTCTATGATCGAAACAAGATTTAATAAATATATTATTGTTGTATAAAAATTGATACAAAAATTTATAAAATATTAATATAAAGTAAAAATATTATTCTTCGTAATGGAAGAAGTTTTTTTTTATTAACTTATTATAATTTATTAAATTGGAATCAAAAATTTTATTCTTACACACTATTAACAATTAATAGAATAATATTATTTATATATAGTTATTATCATATCAATATTAAAAGTATCATAATTATTTTTCAACTTAATTTTTTTTCCAAGTCTTTATAATCTTTAAACTTTACTGTGGACTATGTTAATCTTTCAGTTTACTATATATGTGTTCGATTTCCTTTAACATATATACTCTACTTAAAAAATGTGAGTTTTTATTGCTACAAAGATGGTATTGGACTTTATAAGGATGTTTGATTATCTAATGATTTGGGTTCAGTTGTTTATTTTCTTCTAGTCGTTGCTCTTGATGTTGGTAAATTTTCATTATTAATTTTATGGAAAAGTCTAAAGATTTTGTTAGACCATTAAATTTTGAGTTGTTATTCTGAAGGTTTTTTCATTATTTCTTATTTAACATAGTTTTCAAAAAGTTGTAATTAAGTTGAAATTCTATTGTATTTAATATTTTCATTAAAGAATTCTTCTTCAAATAGGGCTTTTATCTAAGAAATTATTTATGAAATAAAAAAAGAAAATTCTTCAATAGAATCTATTTTTCTATTAATTTGTTTCTTTAGAATATGTTAGTCAAATAACCATTCAATTGATTATTAAATTTCATTAAGATCATATAATTAAACATTTTATTACGAATATGATTGAATCTATTATTTTAATAATTTTCCTTAAATTATTTATGAAATTTACAACATGATCTACTTGCTTTAAATATTCAATTATTAAATGTATGTTTATCTTCTATCTATGATATGCTTTGATATAATGGATATATATGTTTCAAATAAGAGATTACTTACAATTTCATTTTAAGCTTAATGCAATACTTAATTAATAGTCTAATTGATTGCTGATGACAATTATTAAAATGGATAAAGGAGTATATGTTATTCTGAAAAATGAGTTTTTGATAGAAAGTTTGTTAAGGATTACAATAAGATAATGTTATTATTTTGAATGTATTTCAACATTAATAAAGTTTATCCATAAATTTTAGAGATAATATCATCAGTTACTTTAAATACATTAATAGATGTTTATAACGAATCGAAATCACTTGAATTTCTATTTTCATCTAATATCAAATGAATTATATTATCTAATTAATTTAAATATACACTTGTCATTTAATTTAATTGATGAATATTTTAATGAAGTTTTATAAGTTGATCTTAAGTAAAAATATCAGAGAGTATTTTTAGATCTTATTTACATTTAACTCTAAGATCTTTGCTACACATTTCTTCATTAAGTTAAATTTATTTAGTGTTTACAATCTACTCAAATATATTAATACATATTTTTGTTTTTAGCAATTTTATAATTTATTATAATTGCTATAAATTAATGTATTCATTATAATTTTCAAGTGTTTCATTGATATTATTAACTATAAAATTAGTTTAAATGGATAAATAAATATTTTCTATTAACTTCATAGTGAATGAATCATATAATGTTGCAGAAAATTTAGTTTTATATTTTTATAATAAAGACAATTGTCTTTATGACATTGTATCATTCACTCTTTTATCAATAGATGAAAAATGTTAAGTAATTTTACTTTTAATAGATATTTCTTCATTAATTCTATTATCATTTGAAATAGATTACACATGTTTTCCAGGCTTTAATAAAGTTAGAGTAGATTAACGATGATTAGGAAGTTTTCTATTAATTGTTAGAGTTGGTTAAACTTCTGTTTTCTATTTTAATATTTATTATTATTAATCTTTTTAGATGAATAATAAACAAAATTAACGCTTAATTTCTTATTTATAGACATCTTTGATGGGATAATTTAAAAATTAAGCAATTTCATTTTTTTCTGCTAATCTTGATTTTACAATATCATGATATTTTTATATTTAAGAAAGTTCTTATTGAATTTTTTCTAACAGATTATAACACTGCAACCTACTTAATTCACTATCAATTGAACTAGCATAAATCTATACTTTAAATTTGTTAATTAATTATTGAATGGATTTGTAACTTACAACAAGTTTATGGCATTATAAAATCACTATTCTTAATTTTTTAGGGTCAATCTGTTCTTTAATTGTTTCCAAATCTTTTTCATAATTTTAATAATGCTACAATTACTAATAATGTAGTTTAGAGCTATCCTAATTATAAATAAAATCTTTAAGCGGTTAGACAGAAAGTTTTTAGCAAAATAATTCTAGATCACATTTATCTATAACTATAAAAGAACCCATTTCTATTAATTATTCAGATATAATATGCATAAACACTTTTTCTAATAATTAAGAGAGATTTGATTAAATGAGTTAAGATTAAGAAAAATTTGTGTAACTTCTTCTATTAGAAGTAATAAGATGATTAGTGAATAAATTTTATGGTTTAATACTTTCTTCATCTAGAAAT